CGGGCAGATGTTTCGGTGTGAAGTCAAATTGGTCGATGAAGTACATCCATCGTCCGATCGTGCTGCTCACCCTATCCTGCGTCTTGTAGTAAGTCAATGGATTGTTGTCCGTGACCCATGTGAACCTACGACGCCCAAGGAGGAAGTGCCGCCATCGCTTGAGAGCCATGACGAATGCGAGCAGCTCCTTCTTCCTTGCATCATCAAGCGAGTTGATGGGAGGCACTTTGTGGCTGAAATACTCCACAGGGTGCCAGTCATCGCCGTCGTGCTGTTCCAAGACTGCCCCAATGCCATAGCCGGAAGCGTCCTTAGTCACTCGCGTCGGCAGGGTGGGGTCATAGATGCTAAGGACGGGTGCCATGAGCATAGCCGTCTTAAGTGCTTGGAATGACCGGCGTGCGGCATCATCGAATATGAATGGCACCTTTGGCGACTGTAACCTCGTCATAGGTGCAGCAATCCTGGAGTATCCGGTGATGAATAGCTGATAGTAGCCCGCCAATCCCATGAATGAACGAACGTCCGTGGTGTTGGTGGGCTCGGGCCATACTCATAGGGCCTCGATCTTGTCCGCAAGCGGACGGATGCCTTGCGGCGTCACATAGTGTCCCAAGTATTCCAGCTCCTGCTGTGCGAACTCGCACTTGTAGCAGTTTGCTTTGTACTTGGCTTGTCGTAGCCGCTCCAAAACGGTGCGCAGGTGTTCCACATGCTCGTCCAAACTCCGACTATACACCAAGATGTCGTCGAGGTAGATGAGTACAAACCGATCCAGCATGTGTCGGAACTCCGTTGTCATAGCCGCTTGGAAAGTGGCTGGGGCATTCGTAAGGCCAAACGGCATGACCAGCCATTCGAAATGCCCATACCGTGTCTTAAACGCGGTTTTGTAGCGATCCTCCTTGCGAATCTCGAGTTGGTGGTACCCTGACTTGAGATCCAGCTKAGAGAAGAACTGGGCGCCGCCCAATCGCTCGAGAAGGTCGTCGGTGCGTGGGAGAGGGCCGGCGTTCCTGATCGTCTGCACGTTGAGCTTGCGATAATCGATGCACAACCGCAGGTCCTTGTTCTTCTTCCGGACGAAGAGGACAGGAGCACCGTATGACGATGAGCTAGGCCGAATCCAGCCTTTCTCTAGAAGATCGTCGAGTTGTGCACGGAGCACACTTAACTCTTCCTCGCTCATTCGGTAGATGCAGCCGCGCGGAGGTGTGGCCCCGTCCTCGAGGATGATCTCGTGGCGGATGGGCCGATCCGGTACTACTCCGTGCGGGCCTTCGAACACGTCGCTGTAAGCGTCGAGAAGCTCGGTGATGCGTGGATCCGAAGATGAGTCCGTCGATGAAGCGTCTCGGGGCGGGAGGGCGTGGAGAAAACATACCCCCATCTCCTCGATGTCGTCTCTGATGATGGATGCTCGCATGCTTGCGGCGGATACCACGTGGCAGCTGATAGAAGGATGAGGAAGAGGCACCTTGCATGGAACTAGTACTCCGTTCCGATCACGAATGTGAACGGTGCGGTTGAAGAAGTTCACCGGGTGATCCTCGCTTCGCAGCTATGACATTCCAAGATCATGTCAAATTTGGTGTCCAGAATGTCAAAGGACACCGCCTCACTTGCGTGAGGGGCAAAGTACACGGGGACGACGTCAATGCACTGGTCGATTGACTTGTGCGTATGACCGTCTGCCAACGTGACTTGCGTAGGCTGGGACTTCCTCCAGACACGTGGGCCAAGGCCAGGGCGCACCATGAAGTCCTGGCTGATGTAGTTGCAAGATGCTCCACAATCGATCAAGGCACTGCAGGTCGCCTCACCGATCTGAATGCGTATGTATAGCAATGGTGCGTCGATGTCGTCGTACTGTTGCGTTTTGAACTCGCGGTCAATCTTCGCGATGTACTCGTGAAGGTTGACAACCTCTACTCCGTCGTCCATCAACGGAGTTGGTACTGCAGTGTGCAAGTAGTCCCGCAGTTGTGCCATGAGCACATTGCAATGCGGTTTCGGCAATCGTCCGGTCGAGGGAACGGGCATCCACTGGAAGTCCATGAACGTCAACGGGTCGAGCTCATCAAGTCTTGACCATGACGTCGAATCCCCGGCGATAGATTGCGGCGAAGGTGCCGAATCGGTTGCCGATGG